ATCCTCCCAAGAATAATATTGCAAGTGGCCTTAAATTCCATGCAGACTTTAAATGATGAGGAAGAATTCATGCTTTTCGGCAACACCACCAGGCAGACTAAACATACAAATAACAGCTCACTTTCGACTGTAACCAGTAGTTGGAGGAGCTGTACTGGCAAAGGACAACCCACAAAGCATCCAAACTGTCCTCTCAGAAAGCTATCATGATGCAGACAAATTTCGCTCCTTAAGAAACAAAAATAGACCAGGTACAATGGCTCACATCCGTAATTTCAGCATGGGAAGCCAAGGTGGGAAGATCATTTGAGCCCAGGAGTTTGAAACTAGCCTGGGCAGCAAAGTGAGACCTGGTTCCTACAAAAAATTTTAAAAAGAGGCAGGTATGGTGGTACACACCTGTAATCCCAGCACACTGAGAGGCCAAGGCAAGTGGACTGCTTGAAGCCAAAAGTTCAAGCCCAGCCTGGGCAGTACAGCAAGACTCTGTTTATTAAAAAAACAAAAACATTATCTTCACCAAAGAGGTTGTGAAAAATACTTTTTTTTTCATTAAAAATAACTAAAAACATTAGCACGGTGTAGTGGTGCATGCCAGTAGTCCCAGCTACTCTGGAGGCTGAAACACGAGGACGGCTTGAGCCTGGGAGATTAGGAGCTGCAGTAAGCACTGATTGCTCCACTGAAGTCCAGCCTGAGCCACACAGCAAGACCTTGTCTCTAAATTAAAAATATATATATATACTTTTTTATATAAAAAGATAAAAATAAACCAAATAAATAACTTTGGATAGAATATCTAAAGTCTCTAGGGCTTAAATGAGACTTAAAGAACATAAACGACTTTGTTCCTTAAAATTGAAAATGGGCAGGCTCAGTGCAGTGGCTTATGCCTGTAATCCCAGCACACTAAGGAGGCCAAGGTGGGTGGATAATTTGAAGTCAGGAGTTCAAGATCGGCCTGGCCAACGTGGCAAAACCCCATCTCTACTAAAAGTACAAAAATTAGCTAGGCATGATGACACGCACCTGGAGTCCCACCTACTCTACTAAGGACGCTGAGGTAGGAGAATCATTTGAACTCAGGAGGCAGAGGTTGCAGTGAACCGAGATTGCACCACTGCACTCCAGCCTGGGTGACAAAGTGAGACTCCGTCTCAAAAAAAGAAATCGGGGAACATCACAATCATAATCCACGTCCCTGCAGGAATCCACCTTATCTGCTAAGGAAAACAGCTGTGAGCTATCCTGGCTTGAAGAAAGGAGAACTATCTAACTAAAGCTCTGTTCTGCAAGCTCCTCCCTATTTTTTAACTTGCAGGAGCTCAAGGATGCTATTTCAGGGAATTCTCTCACTTGCGCACTCCAACCACCCCCATGTCTATGCAATTCTTCTGTAGGCTTTTAGATTTTAAAACACCTGGGAGCCCATCCTGCAGGCTGCTCTCCTGCTCCAGGAAGTACAATGGGTGTGCATGAGTTCCTCAGGACTATCATTAACAAAGTTTCACAAACTGGGGAGTGGGGTGGCAGACAACAGATGTGTATTCTCAGTTCAGGTACAGTGGCTGACACCTACAGACCCGGCACTTTGGGAGGCTGAGGCCAGAGGATTGCTTCAGGCCAAGAGTTTGAGACCAGCCTGGGCAACAGAGCAAGACCTCATCCCTCAAAAGTTTTTAAAAATTAGCCAGGCATGGCGGCATATATCTATGGTCTCAGCTATTTGGGAGGCTGAGGTAGAAGACCCCACTTGAGCTCAGGAGGTAGAGGCTGCAGTGAGCCTGGGCAACAGAGTGAGACCCTGTCTCAAAAGAAAGAAAAGAAAGAAAAGGAGGAAGGGGAAAGGAGGAGGAAAGGGAAGGGAGAGGGGGAGGGAAAAGGAAGGGGAGGGAGAAAGGGAGAAGGGGAGGGGAGGGGGAGGGGGGAAAGGGAGGGAGAGGGAGAGGGGGGAGGGGGAGGGAGAGGGGGAGGGGGAGGGGTGAGGGGGAGGTGAGGGGAGGGGGAGGGAGGAGAGAATACAAAAGAGAAAGAAAGAATAGTGAGAGCCCAACTCTACTAAATATACAAAAGTAACTCGAGTGTGGTGGTACACACCTATAGTCCCAGCTACTCCGGGAGGATGAGGCAGGAGAATTGCTTCAACCCAGGAGGCAGAGGCTGCAGTAGATCGCACCATTGCACAATCTGGGCAACAGGGCTAGACTCTGTCTCAAAAAACAAACAAACAAAAAAAGCAGGAAAAGGAAGAAAGAAATGTATTCTCTCATGACTTTGGCACCCCAAATCCAAAGTTCAGCATGATGGTGTTGGTGGGGTTGGTTCTTCTGCAGGCTCTGATGGAGAATCTGCCCCTGGCCTCTCTCCCAGGTTCTGGGAGTAGCCGGCAATCCTTGGAGTCCCCTGGCTTGGAGATGCACCATTCCTCCAACCTCTAACTATCCTCATAAGGTGTCCTTCTCTCGGTGTTCGGCCGTCTTTGTGTCTGCGTCTCCTTCCTTTTCTTTTAAGGACACCAGTCACACAAAGTTAAAAGCACACCGTACAGCAGCATGAGCCCAACCTACTTGCATTTCATTTTTCGTTTTGTTTTTACAAACAGCGTCTTGAGTGCAGTGGTGCCATCACAGCTCCATGCAGCCTCAAGCTCCTGGCCTTAAGCAATCCTCTTGCCTCACCCTTCCTGGTAGCTGGGAGCACAGGTGTGCACCCAACACCTGACTAATTGTTTAATTTTCTGTAGAAACTGAGTCTTGCTATGTTGCCCATGCTGGTCTCAAGTGAGACCTGGGCTCAAGTGATCCTTCCCCCTCAGCCTCCCAAAGTGCTACAATTACAGGCGTGAGCCATTGTGCCTGCCCAACTGCATTTTAATTACATCTGCAAAGACCCTTTTTGCAAACAGCATTCCAATTTCATTCACAGGAGCCAGGGTGAGGATTTCAACATATCTTTTCAGGAGACACAATTTGACCTTCAACAGGAAGGAATTCCCGGAATTGGAGCCCCTCACTCAAGATTTCATGCATACCCCACAGTACCATGCTTAGGACACCTGCAAGCCACAGAAAGATGCAATGAAGCAAACAAGAAAGGGAAGGGTCCCACCTGCAAGCCCAGCCTTTGAAAGAACTGTGGTTTTGTTTGTTTGTTCAGTTGGTTGGTTGGTCTTTTTTTTTTAGACAGAGCCTTGCTCTGTTGCCCCAGCTGGAGTGCAGTGGCGAGATCTTGGCTCACTGTAACCTCTGCCTCCCAGGTTCAAGCAATTCTCCTGCCTCAGCCTCCTGAGTACTGGGATTACAGGTGCATGCCACCACACTGGGCTAATTTTTGCATTTATAGTAGAGACAGGGTTTTGCCGTCTTGGCCAGGCTGGTCTGGAACTCCTGACCTCAGGTGATCCACCTCCCTTGGCCTCCCAAAGTGCTGGGATTACGGGTATGAGCCACTGCACCCATCCTCTGCATGTGATATTGTTTGGAGCTCAGGCCACCTTGGGTCTAGAGAAGGCAGGTGTACTTGTTCCACTACACATAAGGTGCTTCAAGAACATCATAGGAGGCACCCTGTGTCCCGGGGACAGCAAGTAAGTGAGGGAAAACAAGTGTGTTTCTTAGGTGGGGGAAGTGAAGCACGATAATAAAGACAAAGAAGGAGGTCTGTCAAGCAGGGATGGTCTAGGAGAAGCCCCATAGTGAGCGTGTAAACAGCACCTTCTACCTTCCCCTGCAGGGAGGTGCTGGCAGAAAGCCAGTCCATGAGGATATTGGTAGGAGGATGCCGCATTGCTGGGGCTTTATATGGGATACTTCAGGAGTTCCCTGAGAATGACCAGAGAGAGGCAGGTCATTGCAGAGGTACCTGGGAGGACTAGTGAGGCTATAAAGTGAGGAATGTCTTCAAGGGGAGCAAGGCTAGGAGAGAAAGATCAGGTAGGAGGGACGCCAGTACAGAAAATCAGGGCAGAGAGACGGGACCCAGATAAAGCAGAAGATGGATAGGTGGACAGGAGAGGCGTGGCAATAAGACGGCAGAGGGAAGACTTGGGGAATTGGATGGAAGGCACCCATGGAGGGAAAGGAGAGACACGCAGGACATCCTTGTCTAAGACACCTGGCTGGAAACGGAATTACCCTGCTGGAATGGTCTGAATATCTTGTGTCCTCCCAAATCCCTATGTTGGATCCTCACTGCCACGGTGATGGTGTTAGATGGTGGGTCCTTTGGGAGGTCATGAGGGTGGAGTCTCATGAATGGGATGAGTGCCCTTATAAAAGGGACCCCAGAGAGATCCCTCGCCCCTTCCACCATATGAGGACACAGCAAAAAGGCACCATCTATGAACCAGGGAGCGGGTCCTCACCAGACACTGAATCTGCCATGTCTTGATCTTGGACTTTCCAGCCTCCAGAACCATGAAGCAAATGTCTGTTATTTGTAAATTACCGAGTCTAAGATCCTTTGTTATAGCAGCCCGAATGGACTCACACACCTACCCTAGGACATAAGACTGCTGTGTACCATCAGCTGGAAGGGTGTGGGCTGCATCTAAATGGGATATTTCTCATCCACAGTCAACCAGAAACCCACGAAACCTGAAGCCCAGCCCCGTCCAAAAGACTGTGGTCCCTTAAAAATCAACTTAACCAGTTCTCCAGAGAGCTATAGAAGCAGAACCCAAGGAGGTGAGGAGACAAAGATTCTTGCATCCTTTTCCAGGCAGAGATACTTGGCTCACCTAGGAGAGGAGCTAGGGGCCTTGGGCATGGACTTCTGAACACAGAGCATTTCTTTTTGGACCTGGTCAGCCATGGAGGTCAGGAGCCCTGGAGGTTTTCCAGCTCCGAGATCAGAGGCTGATAAGACCTGACAGGTGGAGACTGCTGTGGCCTGAGGCTTTGCACGCAGGCCACGGTCTCGGCCCACCCTGCTTCTTACAAGAAGAGACACACAGGGGCCTAGGGAGGGTGTGTGGGGAGAGGCCTCAGGAGGGGACTCACAGCCTGATGAGAAACGGGTGACTGACTTCCTTCAGGACAGACTTCTCATTGTGCACGTGCTGCTCCTGCTTCAGGCGGATGACATCGGGAATGCTCATCACCTTGAGAGCGAAGAAATGCTTGGCTGTCTTCTCCTTCACCAGGTGCACCCGCCCGAACGTCCCAGTGCCTAGAGAGAAAAGAAACTGACAGAGGCCATTAAGTCTCCTGACAAAGGGAGAAACCACCGCAGCCACGCAATCAGCGGGGGGCTGCACCAGGACAGCAAACACAGACCCCAAGCGAAACTTTCAGAGACTGAGTGTCACGGCACACGTGGGCTGATGGCATTTAGTGAGAGGCGCTCACCTGGAATTTTCCACTGAATACAGAAATTGCAGAGAGAGAAAGAGGGAGAGAGGGAAACAGAGAGAGCCATCTGCCTCTGAATGGTTCTTCAATTTGGAGACAAACTGGCCACAATATCTGCAGATCAGTCTTTGCAGACAGCACACCCACACGCCCCACACACCCACATGGAGACGCATTAGAGTAACAGTAAATGGACTTGTGCAACATGCCTTTTTCTCTTCAGGCTCTCTGGTTTCATCAGAAATCCAGACAGGGTGTAAAACACAGCCCTCCTCAACACGGCTGTTTCCTTAACGCACACGAAGGCTTGCTCAAAGCACGGAGTCCGTATTCTACAATCTGCTGTGGATTGGCATGAAGTGCTGTAGGTGCCCACAAACAGAAAACAACAACAACAACGGCAACCACTACAAATACCAGAGAAAACCAACAGCTCTACAGTATTCTGCTGGGACAGTTTCAATCCCAACACTCTCTTCTCCTCCTTCCCCTCCTCTACCTCTTCCTTTTCTTTTTTCTCTTCCTCAATCTTCTCCTCCTTCTCTTTCACCTCCTCCTCCTCTTCTATTTCCTTTTCTTTTCTATTTCTTCCTCCTTCTCCATCTCCTCCTCCTCACCGTCCTCCTCTCACTGGGGTGCATCTAAATGAAGAAATCTAATAGACAATGAGATATAAAAGAAACTCAGAATCTCTAAACAAGCTATGCTTATTCCTCCTCCTTCTATCTCCTCCTCCTTCTCCTCTTCTTCCTCTTCATCCTCCTCTTCTTCCTGTAACACACTGATCCTACAAGGTGTGCATATATGTTCACGCGCATATTGAAATATTCTCCACGTAGCATAAATGTTCTTGGGTTGGGAACAAACGAGTTTACTCTGTCGCCCAAGCTGGAGTGCAGTGGCGCCATCACAGCTCACTGCAGCCTCCACCTCCTGGGCTCAAGCAATCTTCCTGCCTCAGCCTACCCGGTTAATTTTTGTACTTTTTGTAGAAGGGGATCACACTACGTTACTCAGGCTAGCCTTGAACTCCTGGGCTCAAGCGATCCTCCTGCCTCAGCCTCCCAAAGTCCTGAGACTACAGGCATGAGCCACTGCGACTGATGCAGGATTTCTAGTGTATCACTAAATTGCCTTTGATCTACCTTGATTCCAGCGTTAGCAGCCCCTTACTGACATGCAAGTCATTCCTCAGCAATATTTTTAAACAACCCATTCACAGCTTCAGACAGAGATGAGCAACTAAAACAAAACTGCCCTCCCATATTATGTGATCACATTCACCCCAGACAGCAGAGCAGGCTTCTCAGAAACTGACATTCAGAGAAAGGACGGTTTGGAAGTATATCCTTCTGAGGAACCAGCATCTGTTGACGAGCAAAGCTCACTAATCAATATTAATCCATTTACCTATCCATTCATTTGCTGATACTCCTGTGCCTGCTTTATGCTAGATTGCAAAACTCAAGAGAACCAGGATCTTCCAGACACCTGCACTGCTATGTTTATGGCAGCACTATGCACAACAGCCAAGACATGGAAACCACCTCAGTGTCCGTCCAAGGGCAGATGGATATAGAAAACATGGTACATATACATGATGGAATACCATTCAGCCTTAAAAAACAAGGAAACTCTGTCATTTGCGGCAACATGGATGGAATTGGAGGCCTTTATGTTCAGTGAAATAAGCTAGGCACAGAAAAACAAACATTAAATATCGCATGATCTCACTTATACAAGGAATCTGACATGGTTTGGCTGTGTCCCCACCCAAGTCTGATCTTGATTTGTGGCTCCCATAATCCCCACGAGTCATGGGAGAGACCAGGTGGGAGGTACCTGAATCATGGGGGTGGGTTTTTCCCATAGTGAGTAAGTCTCACAAGATCAGATGTTTTAATAAATGGGAGTTCCCCTGCTTGTGCTCTCTTCTTGGTTGCTGCTATGTAAGATGTGACTTTGCTCCTCCTTTTATCTTCCACCATGACTGTGGGACCTCCACAGTCATGTGGAACTGTGAGTTCATTAAACCTCTTTCCTTTATAAATTAACCAGTCTCAGGTATGTCTTTATTAGCAGCATGAGAATGGACTAATGCAGAATCTAAAATAGTCAAACTCATAGAAGTAGAGCGACTGTTATCAAAAGATAGGACTTGAGGGGGAAGGGGAAACATATTGATTAAAGGATGAGCAAGATATGTAAACCATAGAGATCTACCATACACCCAGTTCTTATAGTTAACAAAACTGAATTGATATGTGAAGTTCTATATATAAAAATCTCACATATACAATAGTGAAACTGTATATATGAAAATTTGCTTAGAAGGTAGATCACATTATGTTGTTTTGTCTGTTTTTTTGAGACAGGGTCTCTCTCTGTTGCCCAGGCTGGAGTGCAGAGTGGCACAATCATAGCTCACTGCAGCCTTGACTTGCCAGCCTCAAGCAATCCTCCCACCTCAGCCCAAGTAGTTGGAACTATGCGCTGTGCACCACTAAGGGCGAATAATTTTTTAAATTGTGACTGGGTATTCTTGATTGGGTTGAGAAGAAAAAAAAGACCACAACCATATAATGGATTTCCTTCCAAGAATCTGGAACACCACTAATTGTACATGGTAACATGAAAATAATTTTTTAAAGTATTTGCTATAAACTAAAATCTCCGTGTTTTAAAACATATAAGCTAATGAATGATGAATTTACTAGCTTATAGGGCAGACTGGGAAGGGTGGAGAAGTAACCTTGGCTATTAAAAGAAGTTCCTAATAATGAATATTTTATTACGGTAGAAACAGAAAGTGAACTACAAAATAAAGAAAAAGTGTAAGAAGTTAAACAATGTCAATAGCCGACAAGTGTTAAATTTTTTTTTTAAAGTAAACAAATAATGAAATAGTAACAAATTTTTAAAGTATATTCTCTTAGTTAATTTGGAAATAAAATAGGTTTTATTACAGTACGACATGGTGTGGACAAAATTAGGTGGAATGAGGTCAAAGACAGGAAGTGGGAGAAGGGCTTTGAGGACTGTGAACTGATCCAGTTTAGGTGTTTGACTATGGCCACTGATGTTTCAACTGGATAAAACACAATCAGGAATCAGGAACACTGGCATCCTACCCAAGCTTTGCCTGGGATTGGACCTATGAAATGGGCAACAGAGTAACCTTTTAGTCTCCTGTTGCTCTTCTTTCCAACAGAACATACAGATTACTGGGAAACATTAAATTCTTGCCACACCCTAAAATTCTAGTAAGGCAATGAATATGGTCCTTGACTTTTCTTCCTCTGTCTGGTTCCTTCCTCCTTATTTACCTTTCTCTATCACCACTCCAGGGAACCCATTTATTACTTGGCTGTGTTTACTGCATAACATTCGGTCTTCTTAGCACTTATATTTGACCATCAATGGAGATAATTCTCCATGCCTACTTTAAGAACAACATCTTTGACTCGACACATTTTTTTTACACTTCCGTGACTTCTTTAAACCTTTCTCTGAGCTGTGTGAGTTATAAATACACAAAACTCAAAACATGTTATTCGTGCACTGCAGCAGATCTTTGTGCTACCCTGGGAGATGTGGTCAGCGCCGCCAATGCCACAATCAGACTGCAGAATTGTATTGGTAAACAACTTTATTCAAAGCAGACAGAAGTGGCATGCTGTAATGTTTAAAGTTTAGTAGCTTAAGTGCACAGAAGACTTAATGGTGCTGGTAGATTTTCCCTGCTTGGTGTTCGGAGGCTCTCCAGTACACATTCCCCAGTTACCATTATCCCACTTGAGTAGAAAATGTCTATTTTTAGCCTACTCTGCAGCTAAGGGTGGCCATCTGACCCAGCTTTGCCCAATAAGACATAAAAAAATAGTCTTTTCAAGTGTTTCTAGGTAGGTCAGATCTTTCCTTCCTGATAAGACAGATCTTGAAGGTAAGTGGTCCATTCCCCGCCCTAGAAATCCCCTCCATCTTTCCCCAAGCTAAGTAGCAGCGTTACTCAGGAGGAAAATCTATGTGGAGTTTATGTCTTTTCTTTTAATTTTAGTGAGACCACTTCTGTACTAAAAATACAAAACCAATTAGCCAGGCACAGTGGCAGGTACCTGTAATACCAGCTACTCCAGAGGCTGAGGCACGAGAATCTCTTGAACCCGGGAGGTGGAGGTTGCAGAGAGCTGAGACTGCACCACCGCACTGCAGCCTGGGCAACAGAAGGAGATTTTGTCTCAAAAATAAATAAATAAATAAATAAATAAATAAATAAATATCTTGGTTCAGAAATCTAAAGAAAAATAAATAAAATTTTAAAATTTACAAAGTGAGGTATGAGAAAGCGCAAAAAACACGTTTCTCACTGTGAAAAGAGATGCCCTTTTCCTCTTTTCCTCAAGCCCAACAAACCCAAAATTCCGCCTGCCTGTGACTTCGGAGGGAAGGAAAGAGATGGCCAGCAGAGACAGAAGGGAAGACAGCAGGCCACCGTGTTAATCATCACGAAGCCCATTCATACTAAAGAAGTGCCCAGAAAAAGGAGAAACATGGATTTAAGTCTCTTTTGGTTATATTTTTAAATTTTGCTAGAACTCAAAACACTTCAGGAGATCTGTATGGAATAAACACAGGGACTGTGACATGATTTCACGCGGTCACAAAAGGGAAAAGAAACCAACCAACCCTGAGTACTTTCCCTTGCGGTCCGTGGGTAGATGGGACGGGGTCAGGAGGGTACAGAGAAGGACTGTGTCTCGCTACAGGACACCCCTGAGAGTAGATTCACGGACGATCTCAGACACTAACAGCTGACAC